TTTTTTAGGAGCTAGGTACAGATACTGTGATACGACGCTTGGGAGATTACAAAACCTACCTGGATGCCCAACGCTGTGCCTCTACTATAAAAGCTGTTATCGATAATGCTCTTGATACACAGCGCAACCAAATTGTTGAGCTTATCGAATATGTTGCTCGCAGGATGTCTCCATCGATTCGGCGATATTTAACAGAAGGAGCTGAAGTACTCCACGAGAACTCAAATTCCATGGAAAGACTGATGATGTACCTGGACGGATCATTGCAGACTCTTTATGTTAATCTAAATGAAGTCAACTTCCAAAGAGTTTTAGATAGTATTTGGGAAGAGCTATCAATAATTATTTATGATCTTGTACAATCCAATCTCGATGTAAGTGTAACTTAAGTTTTGTACATTTATTTTATTATTATATTCTTTTATGCGATCCCTTAGAAACGCCGTCCACCAGCATTCTTTCAAAACTTAAGGGCCACTCTACATACTATGATTTCCAGTTTTAAGATTGGGGATACAAAAACATCTGATGTTAGAATTCTATCGGAAATCGAAAACACTCTTGAACTGCATGCTCTCGAAACGGCTGATCTTATTCATCAATACTATCTAGAACGATTTAAATACCAGAAACAGCAAGAGACGTCACCCTTTGGACAGCTTACAATTAGCGCACAATTTACAGACTCTGGATTAGTCGTGAGTATTACCAATTAACCAACTTAACTACACATATTTAAAATAGCTAACAAAACTAAAAAGTTTGTAAAATCTATTTAATAGGCGCTCTATAAACATTAAATATTAATAGCCAAACAAAATATTTTAGTTTGAAATGAAATAAAAATATATTGATTGACTGTACTAGATATATAGATGCATATATACAGATACCCAGATATAAATACACAGATACAGATACAAATTCAAATACTTAGATACAGATACATAGATACAGATACACAGATACAGATACACAGATGCAGATATATATACAGATACATAGATACAGATACATAGAAACAGATACATAGATACAGATGCACAGATACATTCACGCAGATACAGATTTAAAGATATATGTATATACACAGATACAGATACATAGATACAGATATAGATAAAGGTACTGATTTTGGAGTATAGTGTCCAGTATATTTATATTCGAAGCCGACGCTTCCTTCACCATGTTATAATAAAATGAATAACAATTTGATTTAATTTTAGCTGACAATATTAAATGCTCGTAATTTGGTATCTATGGATAAAAATGGATTATGTGATTCATTCGTCAAAGTCTTTATGATTCCGAATATAAGATTTAACGGATTTACACCCCTCAAAACTGCCGTTCATAACAAAAATTGTTTTCCCCTTTATGATGAACAATTTAAAATGTAAGTGAAATTTATTTTTGACAAAGTCAAAACATATTAATTTACTAATTTATATAAATTAGACATTTGACTCCAGAACAACGCCAGATGGAAGATAGTTTGATTTTATTTTGTGTTAAGGATAAAGATTTATTTGGAATGTCAAGTCAATATATAGCTGAATGCTATATAACGTTTGCAGATCTTATTGCAGCTGAGGGCGAACAGATTCTGATGAATTTATGTAGACCAGAGTATACAGGTAAGCACTTAATTGAAACAGGCTGAACATAAATTTAACTATTTATTTTTTATATTTCTATTTCTTTAAGATTCACTTTCACTACGAGCTCTGGAGTATAGACAAGGTGATAAGCAAGCAAAGGAATTCCTAAAAAAGCTAAAGAACAAATCATATTCGTAATCTCAACTATTGACGAATGTCTAGTCTTGTAATTTCCAATTGAAATGATGGTATTATTTATATATTTTGGCAGACTGGATCCTAATGTCAATAACAACTAGACATACGCATTTAAAAATAAAATCGTGAAACAATTATAATTAATAATAAAAATGAATATTCGAACAACAGTATTATCATCAAGATGCGATTGATTTATTGTACAGATATGGGTATTATATGTATATATTTATTACACCCTGTTTTTATTTGCTTCCTATGAGCTACAATTTTATTTTAAATTTATTATAATACTGCACAGTAGAATACGATCTGTTGGGATAGGATAATTTAATCAGACTTGCTGCCTTCTAAGGGCTTTATAAGTAAGTTTATATCTAAAACTTATCTGGCTCTTACGGAGTCCATAGTTTTAATTGCGCGGTAGCGGCATGACTGCAATTGAGATATAGATGACAGTCATAATAGCTGGGAAACCCATGAACATTTAATGCATTGAAAAGGATAACATCTATTCCTTGCACCTGAGCTAAGATTTGTATTTGCTTCTAATTGTATTGCCGACTATATGTTTCGCCAGTTGATTACGGTGAACATCGCTGTTCAAGGTTTGTTGATTTAAATTAATGGTGAAAACAAAAATAGTTGTCTTGTTTATCAATATCTGTTGTGAGGAGACCTAGGTCATCTAGATGACTGTCTACACGATGCCCGCCATCGAGTGACTCACGTGCCCATTTTAACTTGTGAATTGGTTTCAGCATCAACACATATATAATCAGATTTGATTTACCACATACTTCACATTCACTATATTTTTTACTTTTTAACTAACCTTAATAATAACTCAGTCTTACTCGATTTGCCCCACCCTCCTGATATATTTATTCACCATATAATTTTGATCATGGGAATATGTATAAAAATGTGAAAATTATACATATTTAAACCTCATAATAAAAGTATTTTGTTATTCGCTTATTCAAAGTATTTTTTTCTTATTATAAAGTAAGGTTTACTGATTTATAAACATATAAGAGTATATTGCACAAAGAAGAGTATCATAGCGCATTTCTTGATTCGAGACATTAAATTAAACGCATCACTGAACTTCAATGCTCAACAACTGGGCATCCGAAAGCATTCGGCAGCTGAGCAGCCCTCGAAGATCGTGCTTCGAAAAATGCCCATATAAGAAATTCGTTCGACTATAAAAAGGCGTGCAGAGCAGATGTCTCGACTAGTTGATTTCCAGCTGTGTTTCATTACGGACAAAAGTTTGGATAATTACCAGATTACCATTTTTATTCCATTTGCTGCCTGTTCTTTGTTCTAAAAGACATTTAAATATCGTTCCTTTGATCCTCTTATCGCTGCATCCATAAAAATAAAATATGGTAAGTCAATCTAAAATATGTAAGTTAATTTTTTTTTTTTTTAATTTAAAATGAAGATTGTAACTTTTGTTGATTCACGATTTAATTAATTTTTCATTTTATTTTAAAATTTGAAATTTTAAATGGGAAAATTAACATTTTTATACTTTACTGTGAAAGCAAAAGCGTAATAGATTAAAAAAAAAAAAAAA